AAACAGATGGTGGGGACTGGTCGAGACTGGGGGATTTGGAGGTGCTTCCATGAGGAGGTCCCCGGGCAGCTGGGATTGAAGGAAAGGTGGGAGTAAGTGAAGTAAGAGACCGGGGCTGGGCTTCCTGAAGAAAGGATGCAGCATGGGCAGACACAGACAGCTGTGTGTTTCTAGGAACAGCTCCCACTCAGCACCAGTGACGAGTAGACACCGTTCTAAATGCTTTAACTCTCGGCCATCGGGTTGCACAGGCACTGACCGTATCTGCATTTAACACATGGAACAGAAAGCTTATGCAATGTGCTAACGTTCACACAGCTACTACCTACAGAGATGCAACGCAAACCCAGGTGCTCCGGCTCCGGTGTCCACACGAGCTGCTCAGGGTGGCCCATGCGAGGAATTTTGTCTTGTTCCTATGAGTGCTAGGGAGCTGCTGAAGGCTTGTGGCAGAGAAGTGGTCCTCTGAAAGTTGTCAAGGTGATTTACTTGTTCTTGATGTCTTGTCTTTATGGCATTTCCGGGCTGCGCAAATTCTCTTTAAGGTTGGAAATTCAGAGGGCTTTGGTGACTGGCCTCCGCCCCAAGAGGAGGGGGTGCCAGAGGCAAGGAAAACACGCTGATCTGACCCCCACATTCTTAGCGCTCCAGGGCTGGGGCCTGGAGTCACGACTCAGGGGCTGCTGGGATTCCTACTCAGCCCCTAAATGCCAGTTCCCGGAAAGCCAGGGGCGTGGATGGAAATGAGGCCTGGGGGAAGTGGCACCTGCCATCACAGTGTCATTGCGGTTACACTTGCCATTTCTCTGGCTCAGTGTGAGATGCCTTGTCTGCAGGGCGGGTGCTCTGCGGACCCCCTTCCACCCCAGACCACCCACTGACACACCTGACTCCCCAGCCCAGTCACCTGCAGTCGCCTCAGCCCAGCTCAGCTCCAAAAGCAAACAGCCTACTAAGCTCCCAGATGCCGCTCTACCACAGGGGGCCGTGCACCACAACCCACAGCCCTTGGCAGTGACAGCAGCCGCGACCGACGACGACGAGGGCTGCTGCGTCACTTTAAAGGCAGTTTATCCCATGCCAAGCGTGGTGCTAAATGTCTCCTCCCATTCTCTCCTCACACCCAGTCTGCCCTCACGATGGCAGCTCTAGCCGCAGGCCGTCCGTGCTATACATCTACCCAATTTCTTTTTTTAATTGGGGAACAGTGTTTTTTTTCCAGGACTCATCGGCTCCAAGTCAAGTAGTTGTTTCAATCCAGTTGTGGAGGGCGCAGCTCAGTGGCCCATGTGGGGATCGAACCGGCAACCTTGGTGTTACGAGCACTGTGCTCTAACCACCTGAGCTAACCGGCCGCCCCCCTCAACGCACTTTTAAGAGGAAATATCTTCACCTTAAGCAATACGATGTTCATTCAGGGATGAGGCCGGAGCTCTGTTCATTTTTTTCCCTAATGCTCATCGAAATAACCACGAACATGAAAACGATCACCTTGCAAAATCCACTTTGGGGAAAACTGACCTAACCCAGTTCTCACTCTAGCCCTAAGAAGAAAGTACTAGAACCTCCTCTTAACAGATGGAAGACTGAAACTCAGGGGGAGTTTTGCATAGCAGCCCCCTCACCCCACTGAGGAGTGGGAGACCCTGCCAAAACCCCCTGCCCCCCACTTCTCCAGTCTGGCTTCCTCCTCCCTCTCACCCTCTCTACGCCCCCCCTCCTTTTCTCACTGAGCCTCTTCCTGGCCTAAGGGCTCAGCCATACCTGTGGCTCAACTTTTAAGCCATTCCTTCCACAAAACTTTCCCTGACCCCCAAGTCATGGCTATTTTGGGGGGGTCCCAGGACACCCCACCTAACCACAGGGTGGCAGAAATAAGGATGATTAGATGGGCTGGATCTGATGGGTTACAGTCAGAAAAGAGCTTTATATTATTTCCTCCTACTGCTGACATTGAAACCCACTATCTGCTCTCTCTTCCTCGCCCAAAGGACTGTATGTCTTCAGGGAAAATCCTTTATATTTTTACTCCTTCTCAAGCTGCCTCATTTTCAGGTATTAAAATGTTTAGTCCAATCTAAATCTAAACTTAAACCCAGCTCCTCTTCCCCAGCCGAGCCTTACCCAGGGTGTGTGGTGTGTTTTTTTCACACTTCCTCTGTGTTTTTCTTTGGAGCCCCTTATTCAGTCACTCACACATTACTCGAGCACCTACTATGTGCTAGATACTCTTCTAGGTTCTGAAGCTAAATCAATGAACAAAACAGGCCAGGAGCTCTGCCCTCATGTACCTTAAGTTCTAAAGGAAGGAGAAAGAGGTGAAAAATAATAAGCACATCTTGTAATACGTTAGAAAGTGATGAATATTAAGGAAATAAATAGTTCTGGGTAAGTGGGCAGAGAGAGAACCACAGTTTGAAGTAGGTGGTCAAGGTAAGCTTCATTGAGAAGATAGCAAAAGGGCCGGCCGAGCGGCTCAGTTGGTTAAGAGCTTGCTCAAGAGTGCGAGCGCTGAGCAACAGCAGTTCGATGCCCAGCCCGAGCAGAGCTGCCACTGAGCTGTCAACAGGTGGCAGGATGGCTCAGCTAAAAAAAAATAGAAAAAATGAGAAGGTAGCAAAAATCTTTGGCAAAGATTTAAAGGAGGAGAGGGGGTATCTACAGATACCTGGGGGAAGTGGTCTGAGAAGAGGGCTGGGCAAGGGCAAAGGACCTGAGGCAGGACACGCCTCCAAGGAGCAGCCAAGAGGCCAGTGGGGCTGGTGTGCAGTGAGTGTG